TGGCTCTAATTGGGTCACTATAGTTCTCAGGTACATTGCTTTGGCTTTAATTGACTCAATATATTTCTCGTACATTGCTATGGTTCTAACTGACTCTATGTAGTTGTCAGATACATTGATTTGGCTCTAATTGACTCAATATAGTTATTAGGTATATTACTTTGGCTCTAATTGGGTCAATACAGTTTTCGTGTGTCTTGCTTTGGGTCTAATTGGGTCAATGTAGTTGTCAGGTACATTGCTTTGTCTATGATTGAGTCATTGTAGTTCTTAGGTATATTGCTTTGGCTCTAATTGACTCAATACTGTTCTCAGATACATTGCTTTCGCTCTAATTGGGTCAATATATTTTTCAGTTACATTGATGTATCTCTAATTGGCTCAATATTGTTCTCACGTACATTGCTTTTTCTCTAATTGGGTCAATAGAGTTCTCAGGTACATAGCGTTGGCTTTATTTAGGTAAATGTAGTTATCAGGTACATTGGTTTGGCTCTAATTGGATCAATATAGTTCTCAGGTACATTGATTTGGCTCTAATTGGGTCAATATAGTTCTCAGGTACATTGATTTGGCTCTAATTGGGTCAATATAGTTCTCAGGTACATTACCTTGGCTCTAATTGGCTCAATATAGTTTTCAGATACTTTAGTATTAATTTGGCTCATTTGGGTCAATATAGTTATCAGGTACATTGCGTTGACTCTATTTGGGTCAATATAGCTCCCAGGTGTATTGCTTTGGCTCTTATTGGCTCAATATTGTTCTCAGATACATTGCTTTTGGCTCCAAATGGGTCATTGTGGTTATCAGGTACATTTCTTTGCCTCTAATTAGGTCAATATAATTATCACGTACATTAGTTTGGCCCTAGTTGGGTCATTATAGTTCTCAGGTACATTGATTTGGCTCTAATTGACTCAATATAGTTCTCACGTACATTGCTTTGGCTCTAATTGACTTAATATAGTTCTCAGGTATAATGATTTGGCTCTAATGGGGTCAATATAGTTATTCGGTATATTCCCTTGGCTCTTATTGAGCCAATATAGTTCTCGAGTATATTGCTTTGGCTCTAATTGGCTCAATATAGTTCTCATATACATAGCTGTGGCTCTAGTTGGGTTATTGTAGTTATCAGGTACATTGCTTTGGTTCTAATTGACTCAATATAGTTCTCAGGTCCATTGCTTTCGCTCTAATTGGGTCAATATAGTTCTCAGTTACATTTATGTGGCTATAATTGGCTCAATATAGTTCTCACGTGCATTGTTTTGGGTTCAATTGGCTCAGTATAGTTCTCAGGTACATTGCTTTGGCTCTAATTGGCTCAATACAGTTATCACGTACATTGTTTTGCCTCTAATTGGGTCAATATAGTTCTCAGATACATTGATTTGGCTCCAATTTGGTCAATATAGTTCTCGCGTACATTGCTTTACTCTAATTGGGTCAATATAATTATCAGGTACATTGCTTTGGCTCTAATTGACTCAATAAAGTTCTCAGGTACATTGCCTTGGCTCTAATTGGGTCAATATGTTTCTTTGCTTTGTGTCTAATTTGGTCATTATAGTTCTCAGGTACATTGCTTTGGCTCTAATTGGGTCAATATACGTGCAAAACGTCATATATGCCAAATCATCTGAATAACACTAAATCGTGAAAGATCTTTGTCCTAAACATCACTGGGTTCCATAAAACCAGATAATACTGAAGTTTCATCACATTATTAGCCATATAATTTGTCCCTCAAATTTTGATACCCTGCCATTTTCCACACATGTAGGAATGAATCTGATGTTGGCTGGTGATAAACATGCGCCAGTCAATTTCAGACGAATGCTGGTACAGTAGATTTGATGATATCACCAATATAAACATAAACATGCCCTTAATGTACAATCTAGCGTCCCAGCTTATCACCAATATTCACCAGTCTTATTGTTATGTAATGCACGCTTTTCGTCACAGATCTGCTTTAAAAAAAGAGGGTACACCGCTCTTCTTTCTCTGTTTAATCAATTTGTGCGCCACGTCCGAATTAGATTGATCATGAACGGAATATATCGAATGCGTCAAATCAGTACTATTGGAGTACTTAGGAAAAAGATCAAAATTAAAGAGCGAATTCATTGACGAATTAACAGGTGGCACCTTTTAATTCTAAACTGAATATTTGAACGTCGTTTAAACCTTACATATTGATTTTTTTCAAAGACCGGTTTATGTCAGATAACTTTTTTAACTAATAATTACCTTCCTTCCAATCATCAGTTAGACTGAACAAATTGTGACATTTAAGACGAACTGTGTCATTGGGGCTTTAAGCATAGCAAAGTTGGTTAGAGCGCTGGAAAACAAAAGCTATGCGATAAGTGGGATTATTTCGATTCCTGCTTGGAACGAGTCATGACTCTGGGAAATACTTGATTACAACTCTAGTTGACTAGTGGATAAGTCGTCGTGCACAAACAGTCCTTACATTTCACTTTATTCCATCCATTATCTTTTCTTTTGGATGAACACATGTAGGTTACGGGGTATGTATGTATGTATGTATGTATGTATGTATGTATGTATGTATGTATGTATGTATGTATGTATGTATGTATGTATGTATGTATGTATGTATGTATGTATGTATGTATGTATGTATGTATGTATGTATGTATGTATGTGTATTTGACTAATAGGAAATTAAGAGATCTATTTATAATTTATTATTTTGCGAACGGAAACGTAAACCGAAGAGGAAATTTTAAATAATTTTGTCCAATGTTATCATAAGTCCTCAATATTCATTAATGTACAGATATCCTAACAATTACAAACAATCTATACTAAAATGGTTATAAAACTAGTTTGCTTATTCTACATGATCAAAATTCTTTCTTCTAAATTCACTGGAGAGAATTCCATAAAAACATATTTCCTCTCTAGTTTAATAGAATTTTCCGGCCTGGAAGGTAATCAACCTTTAATGAGAGTGATTAATTGCAGAGAAGAGAGATATCGAGAGAGAGAGAGAGAGAGAGAGAGAGAGAGAGAGAGAGAGAGAGAGAGAGAGAGAGAGAGAGAGAGAGAGAGAGAGGACTTAGTTGTACATTTTGTGAGTACACTTGCCATTTTACAGTTTCTGAGTATCAATGATGAAGAGGTAATGGCATCCAAAAGAACAATACTGCCAATCTGGGACCTCCTCCTTTGGAAGACCCCGAATCGATTACAAGACCAAAGACTACTGACAGCAAAGTCGTAGATGAAATAAATTGATTGGCAAGCATATAGCTGGAAAATAAATCACCATAAGGTTACGGGTTAAAGTCACTTTCCTTAAATTGATAATTTCTTAACATGTTTGTCGATTTTTCTCCTCACTATTGTGGAAAAGCTCTACCCAAGATTTGACATGTAAGCCATGAATTGGATGTTTTTTCGTTAGTCGCAAGATATTGAAGAGATTTATCACGAGAAGATATGTAACTGTGTCTGCAGTCAATTAATCAACAGGGTTTCTTCGCTTATGGAATTCGCAAGTCAAACAAATGTGCATAACAGATTCAGGCCCTCTCTTGTGGACGAGCACTAACAGTGTTTCCCTACTGGCCTCTCGACGGGTATATCTTGAGTGCAACAAGAAATCTTTGATAGCATTTAAAATCTTGGCAATATAATGAAATAATTCGCCACAAAGGAAACACTTCTATATGTCATTACATAAGTTAGAGTTTAATCTTACGAAGAAAAGAACTAAAATTATAAAGTATACATACTCTGTGCTGCTAATGCGGCCACGCTAAACCTAAACAATCTTTAATTGTGAAGTTAGAGTGCTAATAGTGGAACGGTTTAGATTGCTCGTTTATAATAAATTTCCGAATCTGGTGGTCGTGTGCCCACAAGGCGAAGACGCGTTTCTGCAATGTTTTAAAAGAAAGAGCATCAAGTACTTCAAGAAGAAGAAGAGATTTGTTTGTTAATATTTTGTGATTAAAGGCACATGAACACATAAAGGATTCACGGTACCAATTCAACTCTCATAGTAAATATCTGAAAACAAAATTCATATTCAAGATTAATAACTTCAAATTTCTGGATGCTGATTATCAGACTTATATATCTACATGCACAACTAACCTTGGTGCAAGCTTCTGTGCGGAAAACACCATATGAGCCGCATGATTTTTGTTATCTACATGTGCATGAAACACATGTTATTGATTCTGAACCAAATGAATCAGGTGCTACTTTCACTATTGAGTACTCCTAAGTCAAGTCTGTAAAAAATACTAAAATTGCATGAATAGTATTTAGCCTATATTATTTTTGAATTGCAGATAGGATAAGCTATTTTTGCTAAAATTTTACTTTTTATTATTAACCAATTATGGACCACCAAACCAGTATATACTCTATTATTTCTTCATCCATTTCTAGACTGGTTTATAGTTCTTCCATATAATTAGTACCGTGTGGGCTGAAAAGGTCATATAGTGTGCAATGCTCAAGGACACACCACGGCGACCAATCTGGCCAGGATGAATACGATTTGAATTTGCACCCTTTTGGTAGAATTTTTTAGACGCCGTATGTTTTTAAGCGAAGAAGATAAGGGAAACATTGTCGATTGTTGTTGTCAGTTCTCAATTTCTCGTGATTTCCTAAATAAAGATTATTTAATAATGTTAATCAAGTGTCCATTTTTAAATTGTGTGTGTGTGTGTGTGTGTGTGTGTGTGTGTGTGTGTGTGTGTGTGTGTGATCGCTTGATTGATTTGGATTTTTAACGAAGTTTTAACATTTTATTCAGTCATGTCGCTACCATGTCTGCAGTGTGGCAGTTTATAGTGATGTGTAACGCTGGGGCATCATGCTGCAGATATGTATCATCATGTCCCACCCAGTCACATTATCCTGACACCAGGCAGACCAATTATAACATTGATTTCTTAATGCTGAGCGCCTAGCAAGGCAACTGTTAGTATAAGTCTTTGGTATGACTCATCCGGGGTTCGAACCCGCGACATTTTGTATCAGAGGCGAACTCTGTAACCACTAGGACACCAAGGCGCTTAAATTTCTTTTTTGTTACAAAGTATCATAAAAAATAAGTAACCCTCCATATAAGATATATTTTCACAAATAAAATAAAATAAAACATTCTTTTAAGCAGTTCATTTTTTTCAGTTACAGTTATGATAGATGGTGCTGTAGACGTATAATTTTTTAACACCAGAATTGCTCCGTATCAGTTTGAATTTGTACAATAATATTACAAGGTCAGCGAAACTTCAGCTACATAACGATCACTAGACCTAGACCACTTTCGTTACACAATCATATTGCTTGATCAAGGCCACATTACTACACAACTATATCACGAGACTTGGGCTACATTAGCTAAATAATCATTTTACTAAATTTCGGCCACTTCAGCTACACAATCTAATTATTTTGATCTAGGCCAGTTTAACTACACAACCATGTCACTAGAGTTAGGACACTTTAGCAACACATTAATATTTCTAGATTTATACCACTTTTGCTACACGATCATATTGCTATATTTAGACCCATTTAGCTTCAGGATCATATTACCATATCTAGGCAAATTTAACCACACTGTTACATTACCAGATTTATGCCACTTTAGCTAATGGCATAATTCTGTTATAATTAGTAGCTGGCAAATGAGTAGCTAACGAAAAACAAATGCCTTCATTTTTAAAAATTTGAGTAAAGTGCTTGAAAGGAAGATGTCTGAGGCTGTCAAGAAAGTAATACAAGATTTTGTGCAAGACATGAATCATAAACTAATGTTTTTCCTTTCCAGTCTATCATTATGAGAAAGGAATGTTAACTATTTCGGAAATGAAGATTTTGTGTGATTATATATATATATATATATATATATATATATATATATATATATATATATATATATATATATATATATATATATATATATATATATATATATATATATATATATATATATATATGCTTGAGATGATACAGAGAGGATTGTAGCATGTATAATTAAATTTTTTGCACGTTATATATAATGTCTGTGGAGGTATAAATGCTTTCAGAACAGAAAGAAAATAAACAAATTCCCCAACAGAGACAATCCAAGAGGTTTGGCTGTTGATGATGCACGCAACTTTAATTTCCATTCCGTTCATGATTCTTATCCTACAAAGATAATAATGCAATTGCAGGATTACTCAATTCTGGAATACAAACGACAATACATGCGTGTTCTTTTCTATGGAAAAGATTTTCTAAAAGTAGGACTTTTTGTTCATCCCAACCATAATCAGGTCTGAAAAATTACATTTGTTTCTGCTGATTGACCATCTCGTGGTGTTTAATTTTTTCACGGTGAATATATAAATGATATTTTTTCAAATAAGCATCATCACGTTTCTCATTATAGTTTCAGAGTAAAGAGATGCTGTCTATGATTACCTAATATATCAATGTTGAAAGCAATGAAGACTTATCGTCCCCATTTTTCCTTTAAGACATCATTTAGACCGGAATACGATTTTCATTCTGCCGATATAAAATAGAAGAAAAGTAGCTTTTTAATTGATAAGGGACCACTCTATTAGAATCGTGCAGGCCCAACATTTCTCTGATTGAGTGACTGAAATTCTGATGTGTTGACCTATCAACAGAGAAAAAGTTCCAATGAGAAAAATAATCTATTCGAAAGGTTTGAAGTTGCTACATTCTTTTTGCTTTAATCAACCATTCGATTATGTAGGTGAAGCACTGTAGATGTTACAGAATAATTGTAATGAAATAAAATAAAGTTATAAGAAGTATAAGGATTATTTAACGGCAGTCTCACAATAAGGTCTAACATCTTATGATGCAATGTTTTATCATCCGATTACACGTCAAATGCGTTGAAAACTAGACAAGAGGAACTATCGAGTTTGGATGGGCAACCATGCATACACACACATGTTAAAACCGGGGATCAGATCTGTATCCGCAAAAGAGAGAAGTGAGTGTATTATCCCTGTGCTATGTTATCAACCGATCTGATTGTTTAATCTGTTCATAGATATATTCATTTTGCAATTTGAATTTTAATATTCTACTCGCTATAGCAATTACCACCGTATTATTTATGTCCGATAACAATTCTGCTCCAACGCCTGCCTGCTCTCTCTCTCTCTCTCTCTCTCTCTCTCTCTCTCTCTCTCTCTCTCTCTCTCTCTCTCTCTCTCTCTCTCTCTCTCTCTCTCTCTCTCTCTCTCTCTCTCTCTCTCTCTCTGATAATTTTTTTTTCATGTGAAAAGAAATGTTTTTGAAAGTGACTACTAAAAAAGGATTAATTTTAAATGCAATATTTACTAATCCATCTTTCACTCGGCTAAACATGCATCGTGTTCAGAAATAAACTGGTTATGTTTAAATTTAAAACATCAGAGAGGTAAATTTAGCCACGCACGAGATGTAAACAATCAAATATCAAGTAATTTGTAAGAGTTTCTTATACTTTAGTTATGAAATTGGGAGGAGCATTTCCAATAAGCTAATATATCCAACCGTAGAGGGCAAACTTTTGTTGAGCCGTGCATAGATCAAATTTCAAAAGTCATATATGTCGGAAGCAACTTTTACATCTAATTTGCATATATCTCCTTTTATACTATTTGCTTTCGTTTTATCAGAATGCATTCATGTAATGGTGTAAACTTTTGTAGATATTTTTCACAGTACATTAACCAATAACATTAACGTATGGGCTAGGCTCGCAATAACTTGACAACTTGTAATGGTTCATTCCTCTTGTTTGGAGGCACAATTGAGACAGAGATATTCACGTAAGGTAATGTAGCTGGAAATAACAAAACTAAGACAAGCAAGAGCTACAATTTTGCGAAATCTTGGGCCATTTGAAACCGGTGTCATAAAATGATATTTTCCAGAATGGTTAATAATAGAGTAAGTTTAGAGAGAATTATTCGGATTTTGATGGTAGAGTTATACAATTTGTGGTGGTTAAAGAAAGTTATTCCTGATTGGATCAGCTAAACTAGCTGGTGTGTAGGTGAAGTTAAAGCTTTAAGTAATCTTTCTCGCGAAATTAGTGAGTCTAAATTATGAGGGAAGCCAGAAGTTAAGCGTCTTTAAATAACAAGTATTTCTTATTAGATTGTTGAGGCTACATTGTAAGAGCGAGTCTCAATAAAGCATAAGTTTATCTCATATGCATAAAATATGTTCACTGTAATTATTTATTTATTTGTTTTAAATTCAGGCCTCATATCTTCCTTTAGTTTAGAAAATAATCGTTCAATCGTGGTCCGGATTGATATATGATTAATGTATTGCAAAAATGTCTAATAATATTTTGGTGCTATGAATGAGTTTTGATCTAGTGATATTTGTATAATAGAAATGGAGTAGTGTAGGAATTTAATGCATTACTCAGATACACAGTGCGAGAATCAATTTATTTGTCTTGAATGTTATATGAATCACGTATTCTAAATAATAGATGCATTTGTTATGATACTTTTTTGTGAGAATTACATTATCTGTCTTAAATGATTTATATTATGTAGGCTGAGAATTTGTTTTTTTTCTGTATCTGGAAATATATGCCAGCAAATCGCAAATTAGCAAGGAAAGTGATTAGGACAAGGAGTGAACTCCATGTATTCGTTTGTGTAATTAAGTTGTAAATTCTCTTTAACATGGAATCGATAGTGTTAGCATCATGAACGGGTGTCGACTGACGTAATTCGGTAATTTACAACCCACAGCGGGATAGAATAGTTTATCTAAAAGGCATAATTATATAATCGTTCCAGTTTGGATTGCGAGTAGCCGCCAGAAAAGACATAAATTCCCGTTAATATGTTGTTTGCGTAGCAGTATCATGATGCGAACTGCCCATTACTTAGTTCTGTTGAATTATGATAAGAAGATCTGACGTAAAAAGAGTGGGAATATTGTTTGATCTTACAAGAAAAAAACCCCTGCCACTTATTTAGGTTAGGTACTATATTTTATTTGAAGGAAAAATAGCTCCATATCTGTACTGCACATTAGAAAACATTAAAAAGAGCACAGTGTATAACACAAATGATGAAAGCGCATCGTTCTAATGTTATGCTCAGTTCTTTTCACGTCCTTTTCTCTGTCTTCCGTTGGTGGGTACTTTATTTCCTTCTGTTTCAGCAAACTTATGAGTTTCTTCTTGCCTTTATTTTGGGTCTTCTTGCTCTCCTCCCTTTTCTCTCTATCGTCAACACCTCCTTCGTTGGCTGGTTTTTCCTTGTCGGGTGCATTATCGGTTTGAGTTGAATCATTCAGTTTCTGTATCTTTTCAGGGTTCTTTAAGTATTGTTTTAGTAAAGATCACTAGCTCACTTTATGATATCCCTTTTTCCAGGTCTTTAAAGGAAATACATGTAGAAAAAGACGTTTAATTCTTCTTATATCCTTGCTTTCTATTTCCATTATTCTAACACTGTTGATAACCTTGATCATGAATTTGATTTTAAAGTTTTATACAGTGGCTGTTAGGAGAATATCATTAGGCAGATCTGATCTATATAATTATTTCGTCTTTTTCTAATTTTTCTCAATATAGATGATGGTTCCTCGATGTTTACTGATTCTCTTTCTGTCTGCATACATCAGTATGTGGCTTTTGGGTCTGTTACCTTTGGTCTTAGAATGTGCTTCTTATTTCCAATTCCTGTTTAAAGCCTCTGATTAATTTTGAACTTCTCGGTTTCTCCGTTCCAGAGCCTATTACCGCCGCAATTGATGGTGTCCTCTCTAGTGGAATCTCTGTCATGTCAAATTCTTGCGTACTTTCTCGAAGGGAGCATTCCAGAAAAAGCCCTTACTTCGTCTCTGTTCTCCTCGTTTTGAAGTATCCTTCTAGTTCGGACATTACCCTGCGACTGCTGGATACAGTTATGTTTCTCTTTGGCTGAATATGCTTGCACGAGTTTCATAAAATTTGCATCGATTTTAAAATTGGTCACAAAATTCTTCCACTTCATGTTATGTTTCATAATAAATTTTCTGTT